AGCCGGTCCATGCCCCGGGGACAGAGAGAGAGAGATGAATGAAGGCACGAAGATGAAGGTTTCATCTCTCTCATTGCTTTTATTGGGTTTCTACAACACACACACGTAAGCATGATCAAGCATTAGGGCATCAGCACACACAGATGTAAGAGCAATCGCAGCTGCAAAGCAATAAAACATTTAAAAATAAGCATCAAAGGCTGTTCGATAAGAATCTTTTAATTATATTTATAGAGCATGTGTTCTAATCCAGGTCACATCTATTGATCTGCACAGTCAATATAAAACAGAGTTTGTTTCTTATGAGACTGCTTTACTTGGATCCCTGCCTGGGTGCTGATCAATTCTAATGTTATGAGAACGCTGTGGGGATTTCAAAAGGTTCAGCTTCAAAACATCACGACTGGAATTACTGTCACGTCAGCAGAACAGCGAGTCCTACAAAATGAATGGCAAAGAATGTTTGTCATTGCCTTAAAGTCAATACAAAAAGTTATGTGCTTTTTTTCTGATCTGCCAGAGATCACATTCTTTCTTTGCCATTGAATGAAACCATGTAATTTGAAGCGGATTGTTTATAGTGACGAATACAAAAAAGTAATCCCTTGACCGTAACTTTCCCATAGCTCAATGAAGCCATTGAGCATCCTTTCAGCTAGTTGTTCTGTTTTTTTATGCAACTTTAATCTTTACATTTAAATCTGGTAAATCTACGGTTTGCCCACAGCTCAATACCAAACAGCTGACTTGTTACGAGACCTTGCCAGTATTTAGGCATAGCCACAAATTGAAAAGCTGATGATAATCACCAGAGCAGTCTGTTGCTCTTTCTAATTGTTGGGTCTTATGTGACAGACGGAGAGCAATGAATTATTCCGTTTTGAATCTTTCTGATTGCCGTCAACAGTAAATGAATCTAGCTTTGAATGATAGCACAACAGAAGCCAGGCTGCATTTTAACAGGAGGAACCCAGATAAATGATTTGCAGGACAGACGCAACAGACTCTTATAGTCTTCCTGAAGCACTTCTTCTGACAAGACAACATTCATCACGTTACTAAATTGCTAAAGTGTTTTTGCTTCAATGGCTAACACCATCAACCACTGTACTTGTGTATATCAAACAATACAATAGATAGAAGACTATAACTGACTACAGGAAGTTACTCTGACAGCCTCTGCTGTAATATGCAGTTTAAAATACACAAACTAGAAAAAAACTCAAACAAATCTTTAGATTAAAGAAACACCACTAGCATCTTCAAACCACTCCAATCACAATTTCACTATCTAATGACAGCAGCTATTTTAGATGCAGTTTAGCATGTCAGAACATAAGATAAATTGCTTTGACTAAGTGTCTCCCACCTCAAGTTTTAAGTCTTTCTCTCTGAGATGAATGACAACTCCTATGACGCAAATGCTTTGCCTGCCTTAATGTCTTCTAAATAATAGAAAATAATACACCACAGAGAGGTCTGAGAGCAGAGGAAGAGGGGAACGTTTTTCCTCTCGTTTCTCCTTCAGAGTGGCATTCATCACCATTAGCGTCCATTAACATGAGTTAGTGCTCGTTTGGCAGCGGTGTGCCAGCAGGCATCTGTAGTTTGCCACCAGCGTATATACTTGCTGTAACAGACTAAATGTGGATTTTGGGTTAGGAACGGAAGAAAGGTAGGAAGGCAAGAAAGGACTTGTCAAACTGTGGTTGTGGTCGATTTGTCAATTCTGCTTAGGAAGGTTCCTAACTGAGGAAAATGACCTGGAAGTAGCCATGATGAGAGCTGTTCAAATTATCTTAAGCGCCTTAAGGCCCGGACACACCAAGCCGATTTTGGCCGTCGGTGGGCGTCAGGCCGACGATGAGCGTCGACACGCCCTACTCAGATTGGTGTGTCCCTCACAGTAGTGTCTTTTCAGCCGTGCCGACGCCTTTTTGGCCGAAAACCGTCGGCCAAAGGCAATGTTTGTTTATATCACGCAGTCTTTTCTTCTTCTCTGTCTTCCGGTTGTTGCCTCTTTTGAATGACGAATACACACTACCGCCGCCTGCTGGTAAGGAGAGTTATTGCCACTCACGCATGCGCAGTTCGTACGTGCTACTTAGCAGACTTGAAGTCTTTGCGGTGTGTTCCAGTGCGACATATGGCCAAGACGCAGGAAATGTGAGTCGACGCAACGTCGGGACGTGTTCTTTGGTGTCAGTTTGGTGTGTAAGAGGCTTTAAAGGTCACCGATTATGCAAAATCCACTTTGTCATGTCTTTTATAGATAAACATGTGTCCACTATTCTGAAAGTTTCAGGAAAAAAGATTCGCTCACTTTTTGTCCTGATCCATTGATTTAAAAATCCGTCTGAAAATGAGCTGATCAGATTTTGGCCACTTTATGATGTCATAAAGGTTTTTTGTCTTATGTAACCATTAGCCAATCACCAACCAAGGTAACCCCCCCCGCCCCCCACCTTATCACCTGAATCTCCTCCTAGAGCACCATTGTGTTCTTTTTAACCAAATATCTCTCAAAGGGGCGTTGGGAGTGGCTCCTTATTTCCATCTAAAGTAACAGACAGAGAATCAGCACTTTTGAAACAGAGGGGTTTATGGGATGCTACAATGATCTGTTTAGTATTTCGAGCCAAACACTTCAGAGACATGTTTTGTATATATCTGAGACCTATAATATATAGATGAAAAACAGTATAATAGGGGACCTTTAATGATAAGGAAATGAGCTTCAGTTCTCCTTGTGGTTAGGTAAAAACCAGACTGTATATATAAGGTAAAAACTAAAAGTCTGATAGGTGCAGCAATGAAAAGCAAGGTACAGTGAACAATAAGAATCATCCAAGATTTTAAGTCTTCAAAGTTGGCTAAGGTGAAGGCTTAAAAACAACTGAAGCTTGAAGCACGATGTGTTGGACAATGAAGAGAAAAGACTAAAGCTGAATGTCTTCTGTTTCACCGGCCCTGAAGACTTTTTATTTTAAATTGTTGACATTTACTCATCCGGTAACTGCCTGCCCAACCTATCGGTGTCCTACCTGTCCAGCTTCTACACCCACACACAAACTCGCCCCCCACCTATTTTTGAGCTGCTGCTCATATCTGTAGCTAAAGGACGAACCTCTTTCTTTTTTAACAATGTCTCAGAGCGGATAGGCACATCATAATTCTCTGGCAGAGACTTAAAAACACATTATTTTCATTAAAGAAAATATTTATCTGAATCAATATTTTCTTTAACGATTTGAAGTAATTAGTTTGCAATTCTGTATCCTTTCAAATCCTTTTTCCTATGGCAAATTAAATCCAAATAACCTTTTAGGTCAGGTTGGCCGTCTTCTTCCTCTTGTATTGGATTTTCATGTTATTTAGATTTGCCAAATCAATAGGTGTACGTGTAGCCAAGACTATATTAACTTTTAAATTGCTGTGAACTAAACGACAGACTGCACCAACCACCTTTTTTCTTTATAATAAGGTTATATGTATATAAATGTTCATGGAACAGTTTCTATACACGCATGGTAACTTTATAAAGCTGTGTATCCATCAGATAACGTAGGAAATAAAATGATATCCTGGGTACTAATGAATGGTTTCCTTTGCATGAGTGCTCAGGTGATAAGAATCAGTTTCATCCTTTATTACGTTATCTGTTTACAGCCTTCCTGTTGCCAGGGAGCAAACAGCCACAGTATTTCAGTCAGTGCCAATGAGCAGGTCCGGCGCCACAGTGGTCTGAATGGAGTCGGACCGCACCAGCCCGGCTGGGTCCGTTCTGTTACCTTTCAATCAATGTTGGTTATCTCTTACACTCAAAAGACATCATCTTACTGCTATTGACCAAGACCCCGCTCTGTAATATTGGGGCTGGGCTAAATGCAGAAGATGGACGACCCAGCAAGGACTAATCAAATATAACTTAACTCGGCTAAATTGCTTCATACAAACCATTATTTTTCAATTGAATAAACTTGGAGATAATGTGCACTGTAAAGAACAAGAGCAGAGGAGGCACCGCTTCAGAAAGGGCGGACATAACAGAGCGGTGACCTTCAGATCTTCATAACTAGTTTAAAGTCTTCTTCCAAACAGCATGATTCTCATTTCATAAATGATGGTTCCAACTCAGTAAAAGACAATAAAGAGGGGTATGTTTTATGATGGGCTACCTTGTGTTCGACAGTTCATGAAAATGTTAATTGTATTGTTCAGCTAACTATTTATTTTTCCAGCGTTCAGATTCATTCTCTGGTCTCAAATCACAGTGGTCGAAACGACAAACTCAGGAGGAGGGGAAATCCCAGAAATGAGATACGGCCATTGCTTCTCTATGGTTACCATCTATAATGTATAACTTTAAAACTAAAACTGACATCTATGATCCAGACAATAATTAATACATAGAGGGATAGCAGCCACGCCGGGTGAAATTCAATATCTTTATACTTCCCCTTATCGTAGGCAGAAGAGTAGGGATGAGACAGATCTGAGGACAGCTGATTGGTCCCTAAGGTCCAAAGAAAGGACACAGTTTTGACTAAAAGCTGACCTTGCCATCGCGCATCACAATCAATGTCTCTCATTCCTCTTTTTCCTTCTGCAGTTTTTCCCCGCCCTCTTTTTCACAGATTACTCTCTGCTTGTTCAACCAACTGTCACACTGGCTTTGATAAAAACATGGCCTAATGATGTTGGCAAAAAACCACTGACAATGAAACTCAGCATTTTGGAACAACAAATTCATATCGTCCAGATGTTACTCAGCCTTCTGTGACAACACAGCCTTTCAATTCATAAAATCAATCTGATAGAAAAGTATATTCATTTAATTGCAAGTTACCAAGTCAGGTGTGCCATTTGCATTGTTGCACATGTTTACGAAAAAGAACATGTGCTCATGTAATGTATGATAAAGTGAGAATGAAATGATTAATGTTACAGTATCTTACACAATTAATAATTAGAACAAAGAGAAACCAAATGTAACCTACCTTTATGTTGTCAAAGGATGATTTGTTGGTGACGTCATACAGCAGAAGCAAAGCTAAAAGAAACAGAAAGGTTTATAGTTTAAGAAATACTTTGACTGCAAATAATGTATATTGGAAGGGTTAATCCAATCTTTAACCTTGATGTCTCAACCTTCAAAATTAAAATCATGAAAGATTTAGATTATTTTCACTCTGCGCCCGAGGCTGAGCCAATTGGTCTCTGTCTCTTGGCTCTGTCAAAGTCCTGCATCACAATCAGCTAAAGTTGATCCAGAAATAGAAGTTAAAGTAGGAAATGTACTACACATTGTTAAAGGAAAGTCGCTGCAAAACATGGAGCATCCAAATGGCCGAGCTGGAGTCACTGTGTACATTTGACAAACCTCAACCTTCAAATGGAGCATTGTTAGATTTGCCCTAATCAATAACAGTGCTGTCCACATTTGACACACTGGATTATCCTGAGTGGAAGCTGTGACCTGAAATAACACAGCAGCAGCGTGGTGACATGTTGAGAGTTTGTCCTTCATTTGTCCAACTTGTTTAAAGCCCTGTTGAACTGATCTTGAGCAAGCCGACTCATTACCATCCATTCTTTAAGTTTCCCTGATCCAGCTACATTTGTGTTGACAAATCAGTACTTTCACGTGGACACACAAAAACGAAAGTGAATACCAAGATTATGATAATAAATTAAGGCATGTGGTCAGTCTAAAGTAAAACAATCACATGTTGTAGAGCTAATGGCAGGCACAATGTTTTATTGAATATGATAGGATTGTCAAACTTCACTGATTTATCGTAAAAACTCTTCACAGTATTTTTCAAAACGTTCTGCAAGTACAGGTTTGTTTTTCCTTCAGTATCTGACAAGCCTTGGTTTTTATCAGTTTAGGATATACAGTCTATGGTTTTTATCCATTATGTTACTCTGATGTTTGTTAAAATGGAAGTGTGCAGCTGAGAAAGGGGGTGGCCCAGCAGAAAGGAGCCTGATGCACACTGACAGCTATGTAATAAAGCTGAGCTCTGCTAAACTTGTCCTGGAGGTCTTTCTCACTCTTTAGTTATCATTCAGTAGTAAACTGCAACAACCCTGAGAGTGTATGTTTGTTTTCTATAGGTAATGCTTCAGTATCTGCACTGCAAATGTCAGCCCCAATTGTAATTAATGAAAAAAAACAACAACCAAGAGTTTACCAAATCCCTCTGTATCCGTCCTTTCTGTAACTATTGCACAATATACAGAAGCTCAATTTTCTTTTGAGCACTGGAAACAATATTATAAGTGAGATTTAGTTGCAAATATAAAATAGAAATGTAGTTTTGAGTGACGTGATTAACAGATTGTGAGCACAAAATAGAGAAAGACTTGAGGAGGAGAGAAAGGTCTGAAGCTGGAATAAAAAGCAATACGACAACAAATTAGATTGGCCTTCATTTGTAAGACACTTTTTAAAATGGAAAAACAACACCACCAAGGATGACGGGCTGAAAACAAAGATGAAGCGGAGCAAGGGAATTGGAGAAGATGTATGTATCTCCATACAGTCACACACTCATTCTCATAACTGGGATTTCATTTACTAGTTTTTAAAAGCTTACATTTTTCCTTATTTTTAAATGTTGCGTCAATGCTTTTCATTAAATATACAGTGCATTGTGAAGCACCACATAATTACAGGTCTAGAACATTATCAAACATCATGAAATTAAATTGTCTTTGAATTTTTAGTTTTGAATTTAGGATTCCTTCAGAGACGCAAACAATGAAAAAAAGTTTTTCTAAATCGGCCTCATAACACACACACATGCAGTTTGTTAAATAGAGGCAGGTCATCTTTCTTTTTAAACATGTTGACTGGAATTTTCTATACCTCAAGTTTACAGATGATTTTTACAGTCTGAATAGTTTCTTTCATGTTGGGTGAGGCACCTTACAAATTTCACAATAGGCAAAAAAACAAATCAAAGACAAGGAGAAAGAAATAAGATTGCACTGTTGGTATCTGAATTACATTTAATTGAAGCTGAGATGAAGGGATCAAAAGAATAACAAAACCCTTCTGTGCCCGAGCAGAAAGTCCTCCATCAATCTGGGATGGGACAATTGTTGTGCAAAATTACTATGTGAAAGGAGAGGCATATGATGGGACTACAAAACCGTCTACCATCGTGTTCTTTCCCATTTAAAAAAAAACTAGATTGTCTCGGTGAAAAGTTTTGCAGACTTTAATTCCCATCCAACAACATCTCCAGGCAAACCTGTAATTTACATTTCTTCTTTGTGATTTTTCTCAGTTTTATATCCATCTGGGTTGCTGCTTCATCACAGGGCACACAAACAAGCTAGACCAAAATGAGCATTTAAACTGTATAAAAAAAACAAAAAACATCCTGAAGCCACAAACATCCTGAAGCCACAAACATCCTGAAGCCACAAACATCCTGAAGCTACACACTTTTCACACAGAAATGAGCTGAATAATACCTAATGGCCGTCTACACCTTTTCTCCCACACAGCGCACATTCACCACTTATAACCTTCTCTCTCCGTCCTTTTCCAGAGCCTCTACTAACAGTCGCTCACCCTCCCACACTCATCCTCTCTTTAGATTCACCAACACTTTTATAAACCATTAAAATAGTTAGAGCTGACCAAGCAAGCCGAGGTCTTTTTAGGACCCTAAGTCACAACATATGTGACCTGCTCTATCGAAATCAGTCGCATTGACCCGAAGACACATTTTGAGTTGTATACACTGTTGGAAAGAGGAGATTCCTAGCTTTCTAATAATATCAGGATTGTTGTTGTACTCCAAATATTAAGCAAAATATGTCACATTATATAATGACTGTCACCGAGTCATCATTTTGAGAAAAAGGCCTTCAAAGTTTCCTCTTCTCTGGAATCCATCGATCTGATTGATTATTAGCGGAGCAAATGATCAAAATAGTCCGGAGGGGAAATATTTCCGTTTGGATTACTGGTCTGGGGGAAGCTCGCGAGTGTGTGTGTGTATGTGTGTGTGTGTGTTTGTGTATTTTTGCGTTTGTGTATATTGTGTTTGTTTCCCGGGGAAAACACTCACGAGAAACACCGGCTGTTGTTATGCTTGCTGTGACGTTAAGTTACTCCGTTCTCCGCTTGTAATTATGCCGTTACAAGCTTCATAGTTGTATTTATCATCTAAATTTGCCGAAACAAGTTTAATATTCTGAAAGCCAAGACTTTGTTTAATTGAAATCAGATGAAAACAAACTGTAACGGACCCCGCCGTGTTATCTAGATAACTATATGCCTTACATTCATAATTTCAGCCGGAGGGAGGGGAAGCCGCGCTACGGAAGAGCAGATTGCGATTGAGAGGTGCCTGTCATCTTCCCTTCACAAGCTTCACAAATGTATTTATCGTGTGATTTTGGAAATAAAAGTTTCATATTCTGAAAGCCAAGACTTTGTTTATTTAAAATCAAACAAAACACCCGAACCCCGAAAAAATAGTTTTTTACGCAAATCCACGTTTATTTTGAAATGAGCCGTTGCGACATCCGACTGATTTCGATAGAGCGGGTCACATATGCTCTATTTATTTTTACCAAAACAAGCCTCTTCTTGTGAGATGTAAAACCAGCCCATCATTGATCCCTCCAGTAAAACACAAGAGGATAAAAGAAGATAGAAGATAATCCACTACATTAACCTAACATTACTAATTGTGTGACATAAGTGCTATAACTAACAAGTTAAACAAATCTAAGACAAAAATGTAAAAAATATTGCTCATCACTTTAATCTTCCTGCATATAACTTGGGTGTATCATTTTCTGATTCTACAGCAATATATTTCACTATCTACTTGTAGAAGTACCTCTGCCACACAGCACTTACAGATTGTTATAATAGTCGAGGCGTAGCTTGGCCCAAGGTCTGCTGGCGTTTCACAGAGATACTTTGATGTAGACAGATGTACAGTCTAGCTTTAAAGAGACAGAAGTCACCGGGGGCTAACCATAAGAACTACTTGTGTTGTATGATCCGTTCACTGTGGTGATACGAGGATGGACTAAAGTACACTCTGCAGATAAAAACTCGAGTTCAGAGTTTATAGGGATCACAAAGGGAATGACAGTATTCTGTATTATTATGTTGCATTGTTGGAGAAGCCTGTGACCTAAGATTTTCAACGACATAATTACTCTGTAGCTATGTTAGTTTGACAATAAAGAACCTTGAACCTTGACAGTGTAGAGTGTATCTACATTGTGTAGAGCAGAGTAGACAGAACAAAACGTTTTTGATTTTGTTTGAAATATTTAAAGCTGGGGAAACAAAAGTAGCAGAGCCTTTTGTACAACACTTCAGAAACTTTAAAAGCTTACTGACAGGAGTTTGTTCACGTTAGACGAAGTTGCAGTGAATCACAGTCACTATCTACATTGCCAAAGGCACAGAAGACATTCATTTACATAAGGCTGTCAAGCTCTCATCAATTCTACCATCACCACCAATAAAGTTTGACGGTCTGAATTTAACCTTGAAATACCAGAGGCTATCTCCAATTATTTTCTCACTTCAGCTCCAGAACAGCCAGGTGAGGAGGGGATGTGTTTAAAAGAGGTCACATCTCTTGGGATGTTTTGAGATGCTTGATGTTTTCTGTTCAGTGGTACAGATAGTGCAGCTGCCTGAACTTATCCTGTGATATGCTTCATGGTGGTAATGGAAAAGCAATTTTAAATCCTGACACTGAAATGTCTAAGGCTGCACTTCAAAGATGTGGGATGTGTTTTTCAGATGAAGGAAAGTTCCCGGGCGTCGTGCCTGAAACTGGACCTGCTAAAAGTCTTCCAGGGTCTCCTTCCTCCAGCAGACGTATAAATAAAGCAAGATCTATTTGTCCAAGGTAAGGCCAATACGGGACATGCATGAGAACAACACACCGACACAGATCAGTTTATACTTACAAAATCATGTTCTAACAACCTGTCCCTGTTGCATACACTTAAACAGATCGTGCAGACATAGAAACCTCCCTTTGATCACACAGAGATCAATGACTGCCTGGAGATTAAAAGACAGAACCAAGCCATGCATTCTCAATATGATGGAGACACAAAGACAAACTGCAAAATTGTGTCAGCATAACCTCCATTTCCAGCTTCAATACTTTCAACTGGCTGCTATATTTTCAAAACTGCAGTACTGGATGTGTAGTTATAAATTGTGTAATTTCTACTTTAATATTGAATATTTGAATGCATGCTTTTTAATTAATACTAAGCTATCTTTGACTCTTTACTTGCTGTAACAAATGTAAATGTCCCCTCTGTGGGACGAATTCTTGTCGGCATGTTCTCATCTCTTATGGAGCCATTTTCACTGAAACACTTTTTATGTATACTCTTCAGCAGGAGTGTGAGTGATATGGGAAAAACCTCCACAGAAAATGTAGTTTAGACTCTGGGGGGTGAAACCGATCCTGTATAATAGCTTAATAGGCCTTTAAGTGCTTTTATATACAAATATTCACTGATAGTTTGAATAATGACTCCCAGACTGTGGCCGTCTTCTGCACATATTGGTTGAATGGTAGACTTATCCATGTGGTACCCTTTGATGTAGCCTATGTAGGTATTATGTATTTTATTTACACGTATATCTTGCTTTAAAACCATGTGCAAATAGAAATTCAAGTAACAGGCTTTGTATGCGACTTACTTTGTTTTCTCCTGACATAAATGAAACTAGATGGTTAAGGAAAGATATAACATGACTAATCAGACCTTATTGTTTTTTCATACTGTTCAGGGTTTGGGTTTTAGTTCCTCATACAAAAGCTTATGTGGATTTTATTGAAGCAATTCACTATGAGCAGCCCTCCCTTAGTTAGAAGCTTTGTGAGAAAAACCATGTAGTCGGGCTCACAGAGATTTGACTGATTACAAATCATCAAAGAGAACATGAATCCTCAATGTGTTGTATTTCCATCCCAGGAAAGTTAAAAATAACCCTCAGCTCTTAAGAGTACTGCACAATGGAAGAAAAACAATCTCATCTACACCACCACTGCTGTGAATTATAACACTGGCATACACATATTAATTTTCATGTCAATAGAGCAGGACTTTTCTAGAATTCTCCAAAACTAATTATCCTTGTATCTTAATGGCAAAGAACAATTGTTTAAAATATAAAAAGGTATGTTAGAGCTTCCTCTGTTATGAACACTTATGTACATATTGTAGCAGCACCTGACTTTATTAGATATCATGTGGTAAAAAAACAAACACCAAAATGTTAAAACAGCACTGTTAAGGCCATAATCTGCATATTAGGCTGCATGTTAAGTATCTAAAGTGTAAAACAAACCAAGATTGTTTCCCAACTCAGAAGTTAATCATCTATAATTTAAAAACGTATAGATGTGTATATTAATGTGTCTTACCGTGGGCGTCACGGTAGTAGGCATGAGTGACACTGCGGAACCGCTCCTGTCCAGCTGTGTCCCAGATCTGCAGAGAATGAGAGAGGAAGGTTATCACCGAATAGAAAATGAAGTTCCTATCTTTTTAATAAGTCCTCTGTTTGCTCATCCATCCCACTAGAGCTCATTATGAAGCCCTCCATTCAATTTACTCCTGTGATCCTGGCTAAGTCTAGAATATGGAAATGAGATATGCAGGACAATTGAAAAGGCAATTTTCTTGTCAATTCAGCACTGAAATAGATCAGTACTTTAAAGCTGTACTAATTTAATTCTTTTGGCGACAGGGGGGCAGCACAGCAAACTGAAAACCCAACAGTGATATATTATCAGCATAAAGCTTGTGTCTTAGCAAACGGTTACCCATGTACGAATCAGCAGACCCGTAGTAACATCATTAGTACTTATTAAGAGTCATGTTTACTAGCATCTGATTAATGAAATTGCAATATTTTACTGTATTTTGGTGCAGACCCCTTTAGCTACTGGAAACAGGGTTAACTAAAAGGGACGAAAGGAACTCAGAACACTAAGGTTTAAGGCTGTAAATAAAAGCAATGAGTTAACAGTTGCTAAAATCACTGTGACAATACACAGTGATTTGATCCATTGTTGATATAATAAATACTGGTTCTTAAATAAGTGCAGACTTAAGGTCACAGCACATCCATCATTTTTTATCTGGAGCTCAGTCTGGGTCATGATATTGAATATTAATCGTCTGTGCTCTTTGTCCCCTCAACCAACCTCAGTGGAATAAGGCTAATTAAGTGTCTTTTTCGCCATCAGGCAGCAATGACAAGTACAATTTCGGCTCAAATGGCAATTACTTTTATACTCTTCTTAAAGCAGACCTGTGCAGGTTTACTACATCTCACTTTCTTGCTGTAGATTTTAATCAGACATTTTTCTGGACCCTCCCTCTTCTCCCTTCTCTCACTGAGACGCGTCAGCTTCATTACTGGTTCTGTTTTACGACCCCACCCCCCCAGGGCCAAGAGGCCATCATGAAGAACGGCAATTACTGGAGGAAAAATAACTCTCCTTCTCTCCGTTTCGGCTACAGGGGGCTCAGCAGACTGACTGAGCCAATTTACCTCAACTAAATACATTACAGAGCAAAGGCCCACTTCACCAGCCTCCGTTGACTCCTAACTGATCATTAGGGATGATTCACATATTTACTTTGTGAGAAATATCAAAAACACAACAATGTATTCCAAACAAGAAGGAAGTGTGGATTAGGGAAGAAAAACTCAAAGCCTCATGGAAAGTATTCATGGAGATGGATAAACCCTAATAAGGGCTTTTTGTATCAGGATCATTGATTTCCTCACAAACCAAGGCCACAGACACTGTCATTTATATTGTGTGATTAGACACATGCATCACAAAGCTAAAGTGAATAACAGGCACTGCTAAAGCTAAAATGGTGGGGGTTAAGAATAGGATAGGAAGGTTTTCAGTGTACAATGCCATAGGGGGTTAGACACTGATTGTTGTTTGGTTGACGCCTTTCTTTTAGCAACAACATTTACCATATACAAATTGTGTAGAAAAAGTAGTTTGTTCAAGATTAAATTAAGTTCTTACCTGGAGCTTCACCTTGACTCCATCAATGTTCAGGACTTTATTCTGGAAATGAAAGCAAGAAATCATAAGTGACAGTGCCTACATTTAAACCCTTTTTCCAACTAGCATCAACATCTTCAGTGAGTTGAGGAAACAACCTGAGGTTTGCATAAGTGGCAGACACCTGGCTGAGCTGTCTCTTCCTCTCATCTACCAGCCCCACTCTCCTCTATCAATATTGCATGTCTGCTCCTCACTTTGGCCTCTCCTCCTCCAGAGGATTACCCCTCTGCTCCTTCGCCTCCCTCCGTCTTGCCTTCTTAGCGAGACATTCCTCTGGTCGCCACTTCGACCGGCTTCACCACACAGCAGTGAGGCTCAGCCAAATGGATGTGAGGTTTCCCCATGTCAGAGGGTGACTCTAGAGAACTAGATGCACTAAGGTTAAACTACCTGCCATCAAATTGAATTAAGTCGAAATTAAGGCAGGGTTTGGTTTATTTAAACATAACTGCTGTGCTGCTGTTATTGCACACATTTTTTTTATACCATTGCTATTTACTACACATTATAGTGTTTATTGGGCCAATTTGTCCCTGTAGCCCAATTGCACACCTGGCCTATGAAAGGAAGTGACCTAAATAGATAAATTATCTCAGAGGCGTGAATCTGCCGCCTGCCCTGTGCCCTCCACCTCATTGATCACTCCTGATGCAACAACTGGAGGAGCACTACATATTTTTGACCTACACTGTCAGACCAATGATACACTACACATCTTGCCCTGTTTAAGGAGGAAATTAGGGATGCAACTAAGGATTCTTTTTAAGGATGGGTATCGTTAAGGTTTTAACGGTACTACTACTTTTATCGATACCTCTTATCGATCCGGTCCTTTAACGGTACTCTTATCGGTTCTTTTGAAGAAAAAAAAAAAAGGTAAATTAACTAAACAAATTGTAAATAATGTGAACTTACAGAACTGTAAAATACAAACAAAAAACAAGTATTTACTGCAAAAATACAGTGGTACAGAGCAACACAGGTGGGGCAGACGGGTATGCTGCAAAAGGCCTAATGGTTCTACTGGAGGAAAATTAAGGTATACACAACATACCCGACGTGGAAACGTTACTCGTGGATGGGGCAACAGAGCTACAAGAAAGACAGTCGAAAACGGTGCACTTTTGCTAAATGTTTGGACAAATTGCTCGTGTTACCGCCCTTAAATGCTAAACTCTTATTGCACTTTTGGCAACGAGCATTGTCCACATCGACACGGGTAAAGTTGAACCACACCTTTTAGCGCTTAGTTCTCTCCGCCATCTCCGCTGTGTGTTGCATGCATGTAGCAGCCACGTGTGTGTGTGTGTGTGTTGCATGCATGTAGCAGAGCGTGTGTGTAAACTCCGCCCCCTCACACACAGACAGGAGAGAGAGATTTTTCGTCTGGATTGGAAAGATCGAAAATACATCACAGACACATTTTTTTGTCTTATTGCATATAAGAAACGGAGTTGGCTAAACTAAAACTGCAATATAATGTTTATGTAGCAATAATACATATGACATATGTTTTGAATGTCTCCAGTACCGATAAAAAGACCGATAACGTCGGAGCTTAACGGTCCCTAATTATTTTCCTTATCAATTAATTTGCAGATTTTCTCAATTAATCATTTCGGTATAGAACATCAACAAGTTAAAATTAAGTTCCCTGTGCCTAATGTGGTGTCAATCTCTTGGTATACCCAAACAACATCTATTTACTAACAAATATAAGAAAGAAAAGGCGCAACATGTCACCTCTGAGAAGCGGTTATCAGAATGATTAGTCTTTTTTGATTGGAAAAGATTAAAAGTAAATGTGTATGCCAATAGTTTGCGGCAGGTCGTAAACCAAAGTATTGGATAACGCATTTGAATCAGTAGAGTACCATCCTGAGGGAGAACACAAATGTCTGTACCAAATCTCATAGCAATCAATGTTATTTATATCATTTTGGCATCTGCTTACTAGGTTAAAGAGATATATTATCCTCCTCATCCTCGGATGCATGTAACAAACTGAATTCAAGTCCATTCAGAAGTTGAACTATGTTACTAAAAAACACAGATGTTTGTGTTGTGGTGTGGTGGTGCTGGAGGAAAAGGGATCATCACAGTCTGTGGGATTCATCCTCTGGGAACCATGAATATAACATATTGATTATACAATCATGGGCCAACTCTAGAGTGGCTGAACATGACTGTACATTTGCCTATGTTTTGTCTTCAACGTCTCTAGAGGACATGATTCTAAAGTAAATGACAGTCCTGGACATATATCACCACATGAATCCACCACATGCATTTCCTATGTTCATTGAGCTGGTGATGTCTGAAGAAGTTAGGAGGTCATGATGTTTTATTAACCACATTAGGCCTCGCACTATGCATGTGGGGAATACATCACCTGGTGCCACAGCAATGCTCTGAAGCACCCCCCCACCTCCCATCACCATCCTTCCTAAGTTGTTCCTGCGAGCCGCTGCTGCCCTTTTAATTCCTCGATCCCCGAGGAGGAACAGAAGATATTCAACCCCGACGAGTTGCTGCTAATCTCCCAGCCGAGCACTTGGAAAGAGATACGGCCTTAGTTGACGTGTTCGGTTGATTTACCTCCCCGAGAGTCCTGAAGGGGAATCTCATACATATTCACAGACAAATCGAGCTGTAGTTCGTATGCCCCGATAGGGATCAGAGTCTCAAAAGATGGTCTCTCTGTTGTTGTTGTTGTTGTTGTCACTAAAAACAACCTACAATGTGATCGGAGGCTTCATAAATATTTAGTGACCTCGAAAAAGATGCTCATGATAGCACCGTGAGGATTGGGGGGGGGGGGGGGGGGGTAAGTCTGGCTTGATTGCATTGATAATTATGTTGGATTTGTTAAGAGGAATTACTTTAAATCAACCAGAACAGGATATAATGAGAGATTTAGTGAGAACAGAGGCTGGACTGAGCAGGATAAAAAAAGTATCCGGAGCAGCTTGTATGACTAAGCCTACTGTGGTAAGATTAACAGGTAGGCTTAGAGGAATTAAGTTATAGTAGATTAAAGACCGTCAATCAAACATTTAGCAACACTGTCTCCACTTTAAACACTTCTTCAAGCTTTAATATCTTACAAGCAGACACAGCTCAGCCATGTGTAGTTACAATTTACAAAAGGGACACCAGAGAAGCTTGCACCACCTTCTCTTCAAATTGTATTTCCTCCAAACATAACAAATGTTTCAAATTCACACGCCAGACACTGGATGTGAACCAGTTAATCTTTCCACTCCAAAAGTTACATGAGTGAAAAGGCAGTAAGTACAGAATTACTGTAACAGCACTTCACAGGTATAATCAATCACAAATGCACAAGGAGCTTTAAGAAGGGCCTGCAAAGTGTGAGCCAATAACACATTAATAGAAACAGCTTGAGGCAAAGAACAGGAGCATGATGGCCACAAAAAGATTGCATAAGAGACAAATATACTGTACCGATTAAAAATAATGAGAAATAATCTACAGTTTATAAGCAGCTGTACCTCGATATCTCTTCTTTTTTCTCTGAGAGCTCAATGGTGCATAAGGCAGCCGGGCCACAACACACACGTCAGAAATCAAAGTAATGGGGGAAATAAGTTAAGAAGTGAGGGCGAGGGTGAGGTACAGCTCTGCTCTGCATTCAACCCAACTCCCAGCTGTCAAGGTTTCTAAGTCATGCTGACACAGACAAACGCATACTGGAGCATACTGTACCCACAACAACATCTTCACCCTCCCTGTCTACAGACCAGAGTTTTATCAGCCCGTTTTGATGGTTATCACAGAAGAGTGCATTCATTTCTGTCATTTGATATAACAATATTAATTTCATTTGACCTGTTGTAGATTTTATTTGTACATTTTCTTTAGATAAAAGTACCAAGATAGTACCGCTCAATCCTATTTTACACCAAATAAAAAGCATCTCCAATCCTCTTCATCCCTTCTCTCCACCTTCCTTTTTATAGCACGCTTTTTGTTTTAGCTATTTCTAATTTCAAAGTCTATCCTGCCATTATAGAGATTGGCTTTGCTCCAGTCATTTTCAGCCCATATTCAGATCATAATCAGCAAACCAGTGCTAGTTATACATCCTGTAATAACGTAGATACAAAATGGTCTAAAAATGGCCTCATCTTCTCTTCTCAAGATCCTGAATACATTGTCATCAGCATTTTAAAACCACAAGACACTCTTAAGTACTTTCATTAAAATGCACTGAGTATTCTCCTGGAGACAGAGAGGCAGCGTAATAAATCACATTAAACAAGACCCATAAATATTGCAACCTACATGTATAGACCTCATGGGATTCATTAATGTGTTACACTTAAGGAGCTCAGATCATAGGGTAGGAAAATGACCAGGATAAGAAGAAATGTTTTGTGTTCATCCGTCTGCTCTCGCAAAACACTTTCCAGATTTTTACTCCAACGAGCATAAAGCACGCTGTCCTTTTTTACATCCCTCCATGTTTCAGATTAAAGCTGCTCCTTGGAAAAGCCGATGGTTTGGATTTCATTTGTTTACTCTAATCTGTAGAAACACTTGGTGTGATCAAAACTCAGCCATTTTGTGTTGCTGTATTATCGATGTTTTACAAGACTGCCATGAGGAGGTCCTAACAAGAGAATCCATCCCTGAATAGACTTCACTTTAGTGCCTCTACATTAACATTACAACCAGATAACAGTTTGTTGGTATACGTTGTGTTGGTATACGATGTGATGGTATACGATGTGATGGTATACGTTGTGTTGGTATACGATGTGATGGTATACGATGTGATGGTATACGATGTGATGGTATACGTTGTGTTGGTATACGATGTGATGGTATACGTACTGACTGTTAATGTGGAGTTTTTGATCACTAGTAATGCTACAGTGTTCATCTAGGAACAGTGTTCATCTCTGATGTTGTGCAACCTTTGATGGATGAAGGAATTTGAATGTGTTATACTGTATGTGTACATTGTTTTTTTA